CAGACAACCCCGTAACAATATGCGTTTTGTACTGCTGTTACACAGCACAAAACGCATAAAAATAATGAAAAGAAAGACATAGGAAGTAAGGGAAGTCAGGAATGCCACTCACCACTTCCACTGTCAATATTCAGATACTTGAGGATATCAGTAGATGCTTGGAGCGTGTAAGTAATAGTTTCGTTAGCATCGCCCCCGTATGCTTTTAGCTTAAGAAGTTCCTTTCCCGGTGCTTCATCCTCAGCAATTCGCAAATGCAGTGCATTCTGTTCAAATAATGGTGCATTATCATTCACGTCCACCACATCGATTACTGCTTTTGCTGAAACAAATCAAGTTTAAACAGTACGACAAATAGATCTTAAATAAACTTTTTGTCTGATAAATGGCGTAAACAAGGAACAATTAAATGGCCTAGTACATTTTCGAGCTCACCTTTGGCAGTATGTCCAGCAGCATCAACAGCCATCACAGGTAATTCATAGTAGTCGTGAATTTCCCTGTCTAGAGCGGAAATTGCTGTGATAACGCCTGTTCCTGGGTCTATGTCAAAAAATTTCAGATACTCACTGTTGACACTGTTTGCGAATCCATAAGTAATACTCCCAACAGAATACAAATCGCCATCAATCAGCTCCATTCTAAATAATAGGTCTAAAAGCTTGCTAGCACTAAACTATTAATCATTTATGCCGTAAAAGAAACGAACACATGTTCTTAGAATAAAGAGCAAATGGTAGCTATGACGGAGAGAACGCTGAAGCGTAGAATGATTAGCATTTCCCTCCACGACCGTATAAAGAGACAGATTTTTCGTCAGATGAACAGCGCGTAGGATGTCACTGCGACTGCGCTAGAAAGTAAATTCCTACTGGTAGGGCATGTTACTTGCCTTGCTGACTATCGATGGACAACACGCATTAATGTATAGCGCCCACAAGAAAGTAAACGGCCACTTGAGCAAGTTGTGCAGAACTGGCATAGATGCATTGAGCGAGAGATTTAAGGCTTCATAAAGTCACAAACCTGGCTGCAAATACTCGTTCTTCCCTAGTCGAGTTGATATTTTCTCTAACAGTGCCGTGAAAAACAGGCTGTTTGAAGGCAGGTTCCATAATATTTCTGCTTTCGATATTGAGCATGATACGTCGAACACATATGCTCTGTGCATCTTCAGCTCGAAGCACCATTTCGAACTAAAATTATTACATTTAAGATAAAGGTGAATGCCCATTCCCCTTCCCCAGCCCCCTCTTTCTTTCCTGAACCTACAAAGAACAACTGAAGCACTCACAATTTCCCAAGTGAAAAGAAACCTTATTTGAGAGGCGCTGTTGAAGCTTTCCACGAACAACAACTGTCCCATTACTTTCAACACCAAAAAAATCCGATTCTGGTCCATCCAGAGAGAATTTGAGCGATCTTGACAATTTCTGGTGCTCACTGAAGACAACTGTGCCTGGTGGAGAATCTTCCGTTATATTCTTGAAAATTTCGACTGGCTTGCATTGAAATTCTGATGCATTCGAATTCAGTTCGACCTGCGATTAAAGAATATTGCACAACTGTTCGGTTCAGTGAAACTTAGATTTTTTTTTCATAACAGTGTTCCCTCAGAAATCGAAAATTCAACCCAAACAGAAAATTTGTGGCTTAAGCAAGGTCGGATTAGGACAGCCGAACGCTGTGATCAGGTTGTTAAAACGCAGCACGTGGAAAAATTTTATTCACGGAGTTCTGTGAAATAAAAACATCCATCCAAGCTAGAACTG